TAAGAGGATCTTGTCAAGCCGTTTCTCAACCAGCGGGAGATCTGTTGTGATGGCTCTTTGCGAGGGATTAGAGTAAACATCTGGAAGGTTTATGTGTTTTTTATAAGTAGCTTCCTGATTATTAAAGTAGTCATCTCGTTGCTGGAGCCTTTAAAAGTTAGTAGAACAGGGAACCAGAAAACTTCAGGTGAAGAACGCCCTTGCATTCTTAATGTATTGTTTTGTAAAGTGCTTTTTCCAGTGACGGTGGCTATGACAAAAAGAGGTAAATGTTCTAAGCGTTTCATTTCAAATCTGAATTTAGGTTATAATTTTGTCTCAAATGCTTATTTGTCTGTGAACAACGAAACGGGAGTGTACGTTAAAAGTAATATGCTACAATACCAGAAAAAGAAAAAGGCCAGACTCTATAATAATCACTCGAAGCATGTGTGTAGTAGTTGCTGAAAGTAACTGTCATCTGAAATGTAAACATAGGAGGAACATTTTATTTGTAGAAGGAAGCAATTTCTCTGTTTTTATTGCGATACTTGGGGGTTTTCTGTTGTTTGTTTGTTCTTCTGTTGTTTGGTGGTATGTTTTTTTTTTTTTAAAGAATTCTGTAGTAGGACTATATACAGCCTGTATTTAGGTAGCTGAAGTATAATACAGGTTTAGTATTCAGCAGATATTAATGCCTTTTCCCCTCCCTAATAGATTTATTTCAAAAATAGAAGAAGTATTGAATGACTGGAAACTTATTGGGGTTTCTTCAGGCAAACCTCTAGAAAAGGTCAGTTACTGCTTTTGAGTTTTCTTTTAGAATTTGAATTACTCACTATGATACACTTGTATATTACATGTATTGCTGTTTTGTGGGGTGTGGCAGATAATGATTTGTATAGGGGAATTTCACTTGTAAAAGTGGCAGTTTGACAAACAGTTGCTGTAAATTAATTGGTGGGCTGTCTGCCAAACAGTCCATTTCCCTGATGAAGTTGGATCTTCCTGTAGGGCCAGTGATTTTTTTTTTTTTTTTTTTTTTTATTCCCAGTTTTGAGTCTGGAAGCGTGGTTGAAGCTGTTCTAAATTCATTTTGGCCTGCCTTGTGCCTTTGTCACACCTCACGTACTTATGGTTGAGGTTTGTGTAGTACTACTTGTGACTCAGTGTGTTTCATAGATCATGAATATTTTTTTTCAAAGTCTAATGAGCGCCTTTGTAGTGCATTCTCAGCCCTGTAAAATGCAGAGGGAATTGCTGAGCTCTTCTGCATACTAGTGCAAATAAATTCAGCTGTTCTGGATTGAATGGCTGCTGTTTTTCCAGAGGAATTTTATGTTTCTTCATTTTAGCCAGGGTACAGAGTATTCAGAACAAAAACTTATGTTACCTAATGAACTAGTTTTCAACCTTAGCTGTCAGTGTATTCCTACATGTCTTCTTTTCTAGACCAGACCTCTCTTCTTGATTTCTAGTGAGAAGACACTCTTTACAGATCAAAGGGTTGTCCGAGTTGCTTTGTTGTAGTAGCAGCATACAATTCTGTAGTGATGTTGTTTTTTTTCCTAGAAACTCTACTGCTCTGTATTTTTGTTTAAAAAATAATGATCCTTCCACACAGAAGTTTTGTAAATTATAGATAAAAAGTAATTTGTTAGCAACAGCATATTCAAAGTAAATATTAAAGTAGCTTTTGTCATAGAATGATATAGATATAGATAAAACCCCAGGTGAGAAGCTTCTGTCTTTGGGCAAAGTTGAGGTGCATATGCTGAAGATGCGTAGTTGCCTATGAGGGGATATATCTGCCTCTTTGTGGCCATAGAATTCTGAAGACTCCTCAGGGGGCTGTCTGGTCCTTGAAATGAATGTGATTGTTGGCAACATGGATTCTAGCATTCAGCTACCTTTATAATGAAGCGTTTTGAGAGCTGTTTTTTTGAAATTAAACCATGCTTAACTAATTAAGAATAAATATTTAACAGTAGAAAAATATTAATAAATATTATAGATTGTGTAGGCAGTATACTTTTTAAGGCTTATGAATGTTAACCTAAATTTATGTGACCAAATAATATATTTTTTATACACAGGGCATATACACCACAGGAGTATGGGAGGAGAAATCAGATGAAATTTCATTTGCAGACTTCAGATTCTCAGTTACCCATCATTATCTTGTACAAGAACCCAGTGACAAAGATGGGAAAGAAGAACTGGTGGAAGGTAGCTGATAGTTCTCTTGCATGCCTGTGAGGATATGACAAAAGACAGTTTCAGAGCGTGGAATTCACAGTGCGTTGATTTGACTCTGTGTGAAATTTTCTGGGATCTGATGGGCGTGATCTGACCCTTCTGCTTTTAGTGTGCTTTGTGTTCAACAGATTGCTCCTATAAGTAAATTGTAAGTCAGCTGAGTGGATGCTGATGCTGCTTTTATGTATCAATTTCTTTCACAGATGCCCTTCCTCTGCCTATGCAGGACTTGCTGTGCATGAACAATGACTTTCCCCCTAGAGCTCACTGTCTGGTAAGATGGTACGTGTGCTGCCTCTCGTCTTTAATACAAGTAAGCGTGGCGGTTGAAAAATCTTTGATGCTGACACAATCAGTTGGTGTTTGGGGTTTTTTTTTCCATCAAGAGCTGAAACATAAGTAAAATGGTTCTTTGTACTGGACATGGGAAAGGAGTGCAAAAAAAGCCCACCATAGTGGGCCTATCTTTGCTTTTTTTTCCTCAAAATATTTTTTTCTGAATTTCATAGACTAACTAAGCTTTTATATTTGTAATATTTAGATGCATTCTTAAAAAGTAAAGCTTCAGCACATTAAGAAACAACAACTATATTCTTAGTAATGCAGATCTTTAGCTCATTATAGCATTAGTCTAGGGAGATTGGGTTTTATGTATAAATAGTTACAGTTGTTATTAACATAAAGTTAAAAACTCAGGACTGATAGATGTGGAAGTCCTCACAGTGTTTTGAGTACCGTGTTTGAGTGCTGTTAAGCTGCAGTAGTTTGTGGTTTGCGAATCTGTAGCGCTCCATTCCACTCCGTTCTTGACCTCTCTGAAAGAGGTACTTGTACCAAAATAACGGATTCCACAGTCTGTTGGTGACAAGTAGGTTATTCAGGTTACAGTGTTTCTAAAAATTCTGTGTTGCAGCTGATTTGCTAATTTCTCTCTCTCTTAAGGTATGGTTTACGTGAGTTTGTGGTTATTGCTCCGGCGGCAAACAACGATGCAGTTCTCAGTGAATCCAAGTGTAACCTTTTGCTGAGTTCCATTTCCATTGCGCTGGGGAACACTGGCTGGTAGGTGAAGGCATAAACCTTTTTACATGGCCAGCTGAAACTCTAGCTGTTTTCCCCTGGAAACTTTAAAAAGATTGATTCAATGTGTTGTTTATATTCATTATCGTTAAAAAACCGCAAAGGCTTTTTAAAAGCTGCTAGAAGTTGTTGGAATAAGTGATGTATAAAATACAACTTTTGGAAGAGGATTTCTTCCCTATGTGTGGTAATAGTAACTTTCTAATATTCCTTAAAAATATTTGGGCTGAAAATTAGGCAACTGAAGTTGTGGATAGGGCTTTGCTTATGACATGACAGTTTGTTAGGCATTCTATGTAATGGTGAAGTTAACAGTATTTTTTTTTTTAATTCCTATTAAGCATTTTAAAGTGTATTCCACTAAGAGGAAATGTATTCTAAAGAATATGAAATTGTGTTAAAACATTAGCTAGTTTTAAAGACTCCAAGACAGCATGACATTTTAAATAATCTGAAATATTCATGTTTTTAAAGTCAGGTACCGCTGTTTGTACAAATACATCATAAATGGCGACGAATGTATGTTGGAGAATGTCAAGGGCCAGGAGTTCGAACTGACTTTGAAATGGTTCATCTTCGCAAAGTGCCAAATCAGTATACTCATCTGTCGGGGCTGCTAGATATCTTCAAATCCAAGATTGTAAGTGCACCTGAATGTATATAACTGATATTAAGAATAATTATTTTATTACCTGGTTGCTTGTAGATTCACTTGGTCTTCTAGGGATTTTTTTTTTTTTTTTGGTAAGGGTGAGGCTTACTCTGCTGATACCAGCAAAGTCTTTCCAGCTATCACCAGTATCTAGTGAGAGAGTGACAACTGGGATGGGCTTTGTTCCTCAGTGTTACCACCTTCCATTTTTATTTTCCGCTGGCCTGTGAAAGAATGTGTCTGCTTTACAGTCAATCCCCAAAACAAACTCTGTTTTGCTGTTTAAAAGGAGAAGGCAGGACTAGGGTGAGTTTTTGTTCTGACACTCCGTAGCTCCCTGAGCTACCTTAAGAGTGAAGAGCAACATGATGAAATGTGAGGGGTCTGAGTGGAATGCTTGGTTATGGACCGGTATGGCTGACTGCAGCTCGTCACAGCTAGTGTTGGTAGTCGGCAATCTCATCAACACACAGGAAAAACAGTCCTTAATGAAAACCTAGCGCATTCTGGGTCACAGTTACTTCAGAATTACTGGTTAAATGGAGCATATGAATGTCTCGTGCATTTTAGAAAGCTTGTGTGCTTACTTTTACCTGTGTCTTGTTGAGCAGTGGCTTTACTAGTAATGCTTGGGGTGTTGCAGTTCTGATAAAATTAGCTCTAATACAAGCTATCATAACTAATTTCTGTTCAGGGCTTGGGGTGTTTGAGAGGCTGTTACTATTTACACTGAATTATTTCTCTAATATTTTCAAGGGATGCCCTTTAACGCCGCTGCCTCCGGTTAGCATGGCTATTCGGCTTACCTTTGTGCTTCAAGACTGGCAGCAGTATTTCTGGCCGCAGCAGCCGCCAGGTAGGAGATTTGTGTCCTTAGAATAACTTGTTTTAAGCTAAACGGTCAGTGCTAAGGAAAATGTTTGTGTGTCTTGCCAGAAGAATGAAAATATTTTCTGCATTACTAGGAAAGGCTGGAGTTCCAACAGAGTGCCATCCCGCTCCCTGCGACAGGCTAGCAAGCTAAAGCTGCTCTGGAGTCGTGTCTGTGGCTTATGGCTGTGACAGGTGTTTTGGTTAGGGCTGTGCCTAGAAATACACTTTTTTATTAGCGTTTACAGATACAGTGATACTTCCAAAATAGTAGTGTATGTTTGGAGAGAAAAGGGTGACTGGCTGTGGATCTGTAAAGAATTCTACCCTGAATTCTGTATGGAAACGGTTGTAGTCAGGTTCCAGTAGGTGCTAATACTTCACAGGAATATTTGTCAGTTGTTTCCATAAAGTAACTGATTTTAATACTTCACTGTTTAAGTGTATTAACACTAGGGAAAGGAGAAAATATTATATGGACCTCACATGAGGTGAAAGTTTGGATTTTTGTTGTTGTTTACGCAGTGCTCAATAAGCCAAGCAGTTGATTGATTTATTTTTCTCATGCAGGAAAAATTTCTGATCAACCCTTTTATTATAGTAGCCTTGTATGAGGGGAAAAAGGGGAAGGGTAATGTATGGTCTTGAATCTAAAGTACATACACCAGACGTGATAAGTTTATGCCATACTGGTGTTATTTAGGAGAAAGGGAGTGAGTTTGCTCACTTGGTACTCTCCCAGTGAACTCCTTCCTTGGTTGTAACATTTTCTTCCTTGGGTATCAAGGTTTTGTTTTTAACAGACCTATTTCTATATAGCATCAGAAAATAAATTATAAACTTCTCCCAGATCAAAGGCAAACAAATCTAGAGGAAAAAGGTAAATGTTAGTTCCTTCTTAACATACGTTTTATTAGTGATGTGGTATTTTAGAGACAAGGTGGTGGGGCAATTAAAATTCCACAAATTCTATTCTTGACTTGGTAGTAGTTTTGCATAACAAGGCTAAAGTATTTAGGGCACACTTTGAGAGACAGAGCCTGGGTGACCTTGGTCTGGTTGCCTAAATTTTTGGCTTTCCCTTGCTTTAAAATAAAAAGTCTTATACTAATCAAAGGTATGTTTCGAAGAAGTCTGTAGTGAAGTTGATCCTGTGTGCTTTGTACCTAAGCAATGTTGAAAATATGTTTAAAGAGAACCTTGCTCTTCAGGGTCAGAGAAAATCAGTGCTGTTTTAAGTGATGTAGTTTCTCTTTGTAGGTAAACCAAATTCACCTGAAGCACTTGGGAAGCTAGTTCTACAGATTCTATTTTTTTATTATTTCTCCAGACACGGAAGTCAGTGTTTTCGGTGATGTCTCTCTGCCTTGACTATAGTTATTCCCTAAGTCAGGATCCCTGGTTTGTGATGAATGAGTGGTACTGCTCTGATCATATCTCTCAATTTGAGTAGTTTGAATAAATTCTACTCTTTTAGAGGATTCTGGTTAAGGGAGCTAGTGGCAAGTGTATTGCAGAAACTGGAGATGGACGACGTAATTTTTACTGCTGTTGCTACATGCAGTTGTGGTTTTATGTTCATTGTGATGAACTAGACCCATGCTTCATTACCCTCCCTCAACTATCTCTTTTCAAATAAACCCAAAGAATTTAAACGTGTCTTGTCTTCTCTGAAGAAAAAATTATGTCATTAAGTTCTCAAAATACTTTATCTAATACCTCACTGGTTTTGTATGTAAGCAGTTGGCCAGGTGCATTTAAAATTAAGGATCAGATGCTGCAATAGCATTGTTGTTACGACATTACAATACACTATTGCCTATTTAAATTTGTGTTCAGTGAAGGCTGTCTATTTTTGGTTTGTATCTTTGAAGTATGTAACATGGGAAGTGGCTGAGGATGCTGGGAGGCATCTTTTAAGTACCTGGGATTACAAGGAACCTCCCAGATCGTTGCATTAAGTCTTTAACTGTAGGAGACATAACGTATCAATCTTTTCATAAAATTGTCAAACTTCTTTTAAAAGAAGTAGTTGGGTTTTCACTCACTTCTGGAGTGTTCCTTTTCTGACTGGAACCGATTTCCTACCTAAATATTTTTTAATGTCAAATTCGTGTCTATTTGTTCTTGTGTCAACACTGAATCTTTAAGGCTGCCTTTATAGTTATTGTCTTTGCCTGCAAGGAGGGAATGACCTTCCCTCAGTACAGTTTACAAGAATTTCATGTCTTTTTGAATGTCCTGTTACGTGATTTCTTTCCAGATTCTGCTGGAAACAATTACTTTGACTGCATGCTAGGATTGTGTTTTCATAGCTGTGTCACCTTAGCTGCTCAGCTTTTCTCTGATCATCCTGCACGCTACAGTCCTTTTACTGTAAAATTAAGATGATAAGCTGCTTAAAATATTCCATAAATTCTGTATGGAAAATATATTGATCTGTCTTCAGATATAGATGCTCTAGTTGGGGGAGAAGTTGGAGGCCTTGAGTTTGGGAAGCTACCATTTGGTGCCTGTGAGGATCCTATTAGGTAAGATAAGAGTTGAGAAAACTGTATTTTATAACTTTCTTATTGGAGGTCTTCAGGGTATGTTATTTCAAATCTTAGCTTTGCCTGCCTGTGACTTAGTACGTCCCTAACAGATGATGTAAGAGGTGTTCAAAAAACGTGTTGATGTGGCACTTGTAGACATGGTTTAGTGGGCCTGGTGGTGTTGGGTCAACGGTTGGACTTGGTGATCTTAGAGATCTGTTCCAACCTAATAATTCTAAGTACATAAGAGACAGCCGTGAAAAGTAATGGTCTAGTAGCAAATAAGACCATTTGCAAAATTGCCTAATAATATTCAGAGTTCTAGCTCATAAATCTTCTACTGTAAGGTTCTGGAGTACTCCATTTATCTCTGAAACTGCTATGTTGAAATGCACCTTAACTGGAGATAAGCTTTAAAAATGGTGTGCCTGCATTCAAGGGTTGGACTCGCTCTCATATTTTCTTCGACATTTGTGGGAGACTTAGATTGAGAGGGTCTGTAAACTGAATTGTCACAGTCTGTCTTATCTTCTCTTCTGAGCACCCCATCACCACTGCACAAATCTAGGAATCATGTTAACATATTAGATGGTGTTTAATGCTGTAGGCAGTTAATGAAGTTCTGTCCTCTGTACCTGGATGCCTAGAATATTCCTTTTGTAGAGAGGAGTTGTGAGAGACTCCTGTATGCCAGGTCCTAGTAAAGTTCAGTGCAGTACTGGGTGACATGCTGTAGAACAGCCAATAGAATGTACGCAGTGACAAGACTCACTGGAAAACATGTACATTTCTGGCTGCAGAATACATAGAGGGACTTGAATATGAACTATCACAAATAACCTTCAAGATCTTAACTATGATGGAAAGAACATTTTCTGCTAGCACTGAAAGATTTAAATCTTGTGTTTCAGTGAGCTTCATTTAGCTACTACCTGGCCTCACCTAACGGAAGGTATAGTTGTCGACAATGATGTTTATTCGTAAGTATTTTGTCTGAATTGCAGATGGCTAGAAGTGCACTTTATTTGTTTACTGCATCTAAAACATTGTGTGTGGCTTTGTGTGTGAAAGAGAACCCATTTTGAGGAATGCTAAGGTCAGTGGATAGAACACCTCATTGGGGCAGACAACTTTTGAATTGCGTTTCTGTGTGAGAAAACATACCGTAATCTCAACAAAACACACACCTCCCTGTTGGGGCATATTCTCGTGCTAGACTTAGAAGTCTTGTATATTGCATATTCTTGGGAAAGATGATAATGGAATGTGGAAAGCAAAAAGAATTAGCTGAGTGCCCTCCCTCTCACAAAAACTATCATCCAGGTTTTCTGCTAAGCCTCCTAAAAAGGAGTAACAGAGTATACTGATACTTAAGAAAGAAGAAGAAGAAAAAAGTTGTCTGTTGTTTTAATTAGTGCAGGAATGAATTTTCAACATTAATACACTTTAAAAAATGACAATTTAGTTGTGTTGTAACTGAATTGTTCTCATGTGTTTCTTATTCGTGTTACATACCTGTGTGAGGGCGGGGACTCTTGCTTGCATTTCAGCGTGTTTGTCATGTTCTCCTGTGTAATGTGGTTTATATTTTGGCTTCCCTGGCCTAGCTGCCTATGATGTTCTGTTTATTGAGAATTTGACAGTCATCTCTCACGTTCTTATGGTGATAGCATGACACTTGTTTGTTTTTTCTTATGTTCTTATGGTGACAGCATAAAACTGGTTTGTTTTTTCTTAAAGTGACCTGGATCCTATTCAAGCGCCCCAGTGGTCCGTGAGAGTCAGAAAAGCAGATAACCCTCAGTGTCTGTTGGGTAGGACATCAGAATTCCCTGTCTTCCCTTACAGCTTTTAAGCTATTAAGTTGTGATGTGAGAGTTGGGTTGTTGATTACCTGATGATCTCTGTTTCCTCACTCCCCTTATTTATTTTGAGTGGACAATATTTTGTGCTTTGTTTTGAAGAACAGAAGCTTTGAAAAAGCGTAGTTTCTGTTATAGGCTATTCTGTGTCCCTGTAGCATAAACTTCATTACTGTTCTTGCTTCACCAGGTGCCAGAGAATAAACATTTACTGTGTGTGTTCTGTGAAAATTTAGATTTCCTAGAATCTTTAAATTTATTAAGTGCCTTCTGCATATATCCATTTCCTTAGTTGAACCGATCTGTTGATAGGCAGGATTGGTACACCTGGAGAGCTGTACTATTGTCCATCTTGCCTTTTAGCTTGTGGGGAAAAGGGCTTAAAAACTAAAAAAAAAAAAAAAAATTAACGTGCAGCAGAAATTTCGTCTTGCTTTGGGTGAAGTGGATTAAACTGCATGTGGGACTGTGCTCTGGAGAGGTGGCTGATAGCTGTCTAGGTGTGCATTTTTCTAAGCTTCAATTATATGGTTTATCTTATTTGTGCTTCAGAATAAATTATCATGTTCTTTCAGATGAAAAGATGAAATTTACTGTCCCTCAGGCATCGTTTTGAGAGTTAGCTTATTAAGTTCAATGAGATTTTAACTGACTTGTTCAGAAACTTCGTTTCTCTTGTAGGTGACTTCCTCACTGAGTTCTTCAAGCTTTGTCGTCGGAAGGAGTCAACTGATGAGATACTTGGAAGGTCTGCTTTTGAAGAGGAAGGAAAAGGTAAAACTAAAATCTTGTTGATTTGTGTTTTTGGTTTTAGTTGTTTCATGTTATTTTACCTTCTCTCTCCCCTCTTCCTGGCTTCAGATCGGTCAGTATTTATACTTGTAATTCTTCGGCATTTTCGGTAATACTCCTAGGAATTTTCTGGCCAGTGCTACATGGTGTAATTTCTCATGAATTCTAGGCAAGCTTAACTTCCAAAGTCCCAGATGACAATTGCCTCTGTTATAGTTGGCTTTTTTCACTGGAAAACAAGAGTTTGAAATTTTACTAGTGTACAAGAGTTGGTTTTGAGCACACATCAAACAGATTTGTCTCTATTAGTTTATGTATTTTTGTATTTTTTTCCCCTTTTTGAAGTGCTATGTAGCGCATGTTTTAACAGCCAGTTTAGAGAGTCTTTAATCATTTTGAAAGGCTTTGCTGTCATCTTCTCTGTTTTAAGGAAAAAACAAAAAAACCCCAAACAAACCAAAATTATCTGACCAACAGGTCAGGCTTTATCCCAACAGTGTAGATACTGACATCTTTTTGATGTTTCTGTCCCTTTCTTTAGCTTTTCTTGCTGTATATGGTGAACATTCCATTCCTTCCTGCCTCTTGTCACCTTTTCTTCCCTCTGAGTATGGCCTGTGTTAATGTATTTTCTTTGGTTATGCTTAGTCTTGGTTTTGAAGGAGCTCACCAGTTCACTTAAAAAGGTGTTAGACTGCGTAGGGTATGTATTGCTCCTGGTGCTTGACATACAATCTCTTTAACCCTCCTTATCTCTAATTTTCTTGAAATGTTTGTCAAGATGAGGTTTTTTAGGCTGCGGGTAATTATTCACTTAAATTTGTCTGCCTTCTTTTTAACAGTGTTAATTCATTTTGTTGTAAGAGAGGTTCTAAAGTTTACCAGCATCAACTCTGGAAAAAATGTTTCGATTTGAGGCATTTACCTGAGGATTCTAGAGCAGAATTGTGCTTATGCCGTGTAAGGTCATATCTATAGTGTTTAGTACTGGATTTATTTAAGGCTTATCTAAAGCTTTAGCATATACTGAGCAGTCTTTGTTACCTACAGTGGGTTTGTTGGTATCGTGTATTAACAGAGTTTAAACATTGGCTCTTCAGCAGGCTTTTGCTGATACCCTGCCTGCAATGGTCTGCAAGCAGGCAGTGCTGCTACAGTAGGTGGCAGGCACTGTCTGCAGCCAGCTCAGCCCAGACTTCATTTGGTGAATTAAATCAAGAACAGTGTGTGACTCCCTTGTGACCTCATTGTGCTGCTTATCTTTGTGTTGAAGAACAGCAAATATCAGGTGTGGAACCTGACAGCGCAGGGGTGTAGCTCTGGTTAACAGGGTGTTACAAATCGGTGCAAGATAGACTGAGTATGACAGGGGAGCTTTTAAAGAGAAATGGTCTCGTGGGTGTGGGGGCTTTTGTTGTGTTTTAATTATTTTTATTTTATTTTATAGAGGTTACTGATATTACCCATGCTTTGTCGAAGCTCACAGAGCCAGCACCGGTCCCAATCCATAAACTGTCAGTCACAAATATGGTTCACAGTGCCAAGAAAAAAATTCGCAGGCACAGAGGTGTAGATGAATCACCTTTAAACAATGAGGTTCTGAACACTATTCTCATGGTGAGTGAGCTGTCCATGCACATTTAAGTTCATATGAAACATGTATTTCGTGATTCCACTGATTGATTTGGTGTATAGTTTATAGCAGAATTATAAATAAAAGTGCCTGATGTCAGGTCCTTTATTTGAATTGCATTTATCACCTTCTCGAAACAGCCTCGGTTGTCACAAGTCTGTGCAATACAAGTGGGCTGAAAGTGAACTCTGAGCTCTAACAGTTTCAGTTACAGGGGCTGCTGGTATGTAACCAGCAATAGCTTTGTGGAGCAAGTGGAAAAAGCAGGAAAAACATACTGATGGAAGTTTGGGGTTTTTTTGTTTCTTCAAGTTCTTATTTCCTGATGCTGCTGACAAACTGGCAGAAGGATTTGAAAGCCGAACTAGCACTTCAGCAACAATCCTTCGCCGGAGAGTGAAGATTACGTAAGTTGTACTGACTGGCCCTCATGAGGGAGAGAAAGCAATTTTGAGTGTGTGTTCGTACACACTTTGTTGTGGTTGCCCTGTGCTTGTAATAGATAATTTCTGGAAAGAGGAACTTAGCTTTGTGGAATCTCTAGGTAGATACAGTTTTTGTTTTGTTTTTTTTTTCTACCAAAGACTGTAATTTTTGGTAGCTTGTGCTTACAGGCTTAAAATGTTAGTTAGCCACTTGTATTGACAAATGGGAAAGAGATCATATGGTTTTGGAAAAAATGCTGCTGTTCCTGTATTGCCTGCTTTCTTTTATTTCTTACGTAGAATCTCTTCAGTCAGTTTAAATCTGCTCCTTCTGATAGTCTGACGTACAAACTAGCTTTGTGTCTTTGTATGATAAACTTCTACCATGGAGGAGTAAAAGGAGTGGCACATCTCTGGCAAGAATTCGTGTTAGAAATGCGCTACAGATGGGAGAACAACTATCTTATTCCAGGGTAAGATTGTTTGTTTGTTTGTTTTTTGTTTTGTCATAGAAAATGTTCTTTGTTTCAGGAACAGAGTTCACTATGACTTTGAAACATACTGTTTTGGGGTTTTTTTAAATTGCAAATGCTGTCCTCTATTTTTACTGCCCTACCTCCTTAAAGCAATAAAGGACAGAGAGTAGGAAAAAGCCTCTCTGCCCTCCTCTGAAAACTTCAAGGTGGCTGGGGAAGGTCAAGTTAAAGAGTGGGGATAAGGGTGGGGAAAAAAGAGCTTATGCAAATGCTTGGCTTCCAGTTGGTTGTTAGATAAAACCGAAGGAGCAGATACAGGGAGAAACACCTTTGCTTTCTGGTGTAGTTTTGGCAGTTTTCTGAGGGAGGCGTTCCAGGCTCCTGCTGGAATGGTAGCCTTCTCAGGCAGCTCATGCTGTCTTGAGCATGCCAGCCCTTCCAGGTTATGTCTGCTGCAGCAGAGCTTGTTGCAGACCAGATGAAGGGTTCTGTCAAGATGAGGTATTAATGTAGAGCAAAAATATATCCTTTTTTTTTTCTTTTTTTTTTTTTAAATGGGATGGACTGGCCATCTACTCACTAGCTTGTACTTTCAAGTGGTTACACTAACAGATAAAATAGAAGTTGAAATATATAGAGATCACTGTCATTGCAATTTTAAAAGTAAAGTCAAACTTGCTTCATTTTTGTCTGGAAACAGTTACTCTTTCAACTTTGAAATGGAAAACCGAGTAGGAAATGCAGGGCCTGTCTGGTTCATACTAGTGTGCATGGCTGAGCTTCCGCAATGACCTCTAGGAAGTAAATGTAGTTTCACTTGTGGCCGTGTTCGGTCACTAGCTTGTCTGCTGAGACCATGGGAGAGCTGCATAGTAAAATGGTGGGGGTGGGTTTGGTGGGGATATTTGCCGCTCTTTGGGTTTTCATGTGATTTAAGACCACATGTGTGTGAAAGATTCACCTTTATAATCGATAATGGTTACACTTCTACCTTTTGTTAGATTAGCTAATGGCCCTCCAGATCTGAGATGCTGTTTACTGCATCAGAAACTTCAGGTAAATATCCCAAATTTAAGAATGATTTTTCTCCTAAGGAAACTGTCAAAATTATAGCAATTATTAACTAAATATATTTGTTTTGTAGGCTTAGATATGCTTGTATTATTGGGTCTGGACTTCATTTCTTGGGAAAATCTTTATTGTAGCAACAAGTTCAATGGAATTGTAATCTTTTAGAATTACAAATTTTTGGTGACTGACTCCCAAGTTTTTCTGTGATACTGTTTCAATAAGAGATGTAATTGCTAAACATTTTTTTTTTCCTTTAACTTGTTAGATGTTAAATTGTTGCATAGAAAGAAAGAAAGCAAGAGATGAGGGGAAAAGGGGGAACGTGTCTGATCGTTCACCTGGTGCTACTTGTGGTGATGGTGGAAAAGGAGCCGACAACTCTGGAGATAACCCTGATAAGGAAAAAGAAGTTGGCAAGTCGTGGGAATCGTGGAGTGACAGTGAAGAGGAGTTTTTCGAATGTCTAAGTGACACGGAAGATCTTAAAGGAAATGGGCAGGAAAATGGAAAGAAAGGAGGAGCGAAAGAAGGCAACAAAGAGCCTGTAAACTTAAAACCAGAAGGTCGCCTGCATCCCCACGGAAAGCTGACGCTGCTGCATCCGGGAGAGCCCCTCTACATTCCGATAACACAGGTTAGGTGGCGAGAGCTGAGCCAGGTGTGCAGTACGACTCGTGCTCCTACCTAGGGCTGTGACATCGTATCTAGTTTGCAGGTTGTCGCCTTGTCTGTGGCTGAAATTGCTGAGCAGTTTTGGCCTGAGACCTTGTTTTCAGTTCTCAAAACTTGGTGAGGCTGTTAAGCTGAAATCTCACATGCTTTCGGTTTTATTTGAGAATGTGTCTGCTTACCAAATTTCACTCAAAACAATTTTTTTTAAACAAGAATCAAGCTGTCTTGCCTACCTTAAATTTGGGTTTCTTTTTATTTCCAGCTCTTGCGGCATGTTCCATCCCCTCCTTAATTTCTTTCCCTGTAAAGTAGGAACTGCCATGGTCCTTCCACCATGAAGATTTCTAGCTGACTGACCAGACTACTGGATCAGTTTTGCTGCTACTTTTTTTTTTCTTTAAAAAAAACCCAACCCCAAACCATTTCTCAACTCGTATGTAAAAAGCCATAGTCATCAGGTTTTGGTACTGTTACGTAAAGCAGGTTTGTCACCAAACAACTAGAAATCTCGCCTGACACGGACTTCTTGCAGAGTGACTAGGGCTGAGATAGGAGGCAGGCGTGTCAGAGGAAGTAGTTTGAAATCAGCCATGTATGAAGAATACAGTTATTTGTCATTCACTTGAGAGAAATTATTTTTAATGGCAGTTGCTTTGCATGGGTGAAAGGTAGGAGCAGAGTGTAGTCAGGCAAAATGTTGTCAATTAATTATGTGCTGACAGTATCAGTGGTGAAAATTCTACTTTAGAATCCATTTTAGGCGGATTTTCATTCGTCTCAACAGAGGATCACTCAGACACTTCCTGGACTTTGGATTTTGGCATTTTAGCGGTGCGTCCTTACACTGTACTTCAGTCTAAGGTGTTCTGTTTAACAGCTTCTTGGTAGCGTCGTCTTCAGGTGCGCAGCTTTAGGCTAAACAGTGTAATCAGTAGAAAGTTACGATTATTTCCTTTGAGTACAAATAGAATAGAATGAACTTTTGGTGACAGGGAGCTTTCCACTCCTCCTTCCTTAATAAGGGCCAAGTCTGGGTCTGTAAACTTGTCTTTTTCCGTGTTGCAGGAACCAGCACCGATGACGGAAGACTTGCTGGAAGAGCAGTCTGAGGTACTGGCAAAACTAGGGACATCAGCGGAAGGTGCTCATCTTCGGGCACGCATGCAGAGTGCCTGCTTGCTCTCGGATATGGAATCTTTTAAGGTAGCCCTACTTGAAGAATTCTGTGAGACCGCTTTCGTAATGAAACCAGCCCTCTTGCTTGTATTGAACAATTTTGAACGTTCTTCTGACAATTTTTTTTTTCTCTACAAAACACTTTCAAAATATTTTAAAGTTGAAAATAAAAAACAATCGATAAAACTCTTGGAATGTTTCAAAATGTATAACAGACTGTCCAGCCTGTTACGGTGTAACGTTCCAGTAAATTTGCACATCTCTGCAGGAGGGAAAAAAAAAAACCCAAACTTACAGTTGATAAGTTGGGAATTAAAACTCGGAAGCCCATACACAATGATGTCAGAAGGAAAAGGAGCGTCAAGGTTCTGAATCAAAATTACCTTCCCTTGTCCTGTGGTTCAGTGTCTCTTACCTGTACTTCCCACTGTGTCTGGCTTTGTAAAACGCACCTTTAATCAAACTCCAAATGGATAAAATATAAAAGGTGACGTAAAGAAAAAAATCATCTCTATTAACATGTTCACAGTTGTGTATTTGGGGAGATAGCCGTAGTTTTTATGTGTAGTTGAAGATGTTTTGTTCTTTGGCGGGAAGGATAAGTTACTGCTATTTAGGAGTCCTGTACAGCTGTTTGTTATACTGGGAATGGACCAGCTGGGGGTTTGGGTAATTTGTTCCGTTTCTTTCTGAGCTCTGCAGAGGGAGCTAAGAGCACATACACTGCTGTCATCAAAGGATCTCCGAACTCCAAAAAGACTGGGGATTCTGTCATGAAATAGCTGTATATGTTCTTTTTAATCGTTGCAATGTAACTGTGTAGTAAAAGGACACAGCTGTACTGTAAAGAGTATTTGTAACACGTCAGTACCGGTTTATTAGCAGCGACTCAGATATGCGTAGTGGTTTTATTTCTGTGGTGCAAGTGATCTAAAAACTCAGAGTAAGAATACAGAACCATACTTGGAAGCAGAAGTGCACTCTTGATAGGTACATAGAGTAGAAAACTGGGATGCTTTTTATGTACTAGACCCTATTTGTGTTGACATCACATCTATGATAAATGAAGTTGGTTTTGTTCGGGGGAGATTTTTTTTTTTAATTCCTTTTTAAAGAAAGAAGAAAGGGTGAATTTTGTTACTGGGGTGTTAAAGGATGGAAAGTCAGTGCTGAAAGCATATTTGTGCAGCACAGTGATTCTTTTAGGCCTGGGCTGGTTTTCGTCTTAAGTTTTCAAGGTATAAGCTTATACATAAACCAGTGGAAATTCATATTTATTGTGTGGATCAGGTGCCAGACAGAAGCTCGACTTAACAGTGTAAGTTTGAGCTTGCCTGAAATAACTGATGAATGTGCTGTTTGGGGGTGGTAAGAAGGTGGTTTCTTTGTTTTTGTTGATGGTCTGGGTTTTACCCCTTGCCGTTGTCTTGGTTTGTGCTTTATTCCCTCACCCTCTTTCCTAGTGTACAGTTTGGTGACTGTGAACAGAATTCCCTGAGTTTCAGCTCCTAGCCTCTACTTGATCCACTAACCCGTACTGCCTTCCTACCCAGGTTATCGGGTTTTTCTAGCAGTTTTCAGGCACAAATTTTATCTCCTCTTCATTCCAGGCAGCTAATCCTGGCTGTTGTCTGGAGGATTTTGTGAGGTGGTACTCCCCTCGGGATTACATCGAGGAGGAAGTGGTTGATGAGAAGGGGAACGTTGTCATTAAGGGCGAGCTGAGTGCCCGAATGAAGATTCCTAGCAACATGTGGGTGGAGGCCTGGGAGACAGCAAAACCCGTCCCAGCCCGGAGGCAGAAGAGACTCTTCGACGACACTAGAGAGGCAGAGAAGGTAAAAAGCTCCGTGGCTAGTGATAGTCTTGATCTGTAATGCTTATAGCAGCCCTTTCTTCCTCCTCCTGCGAAATTTAAACATTAAGACGTTGTTGCACTATATTCTTGGAGTTACTAAACTCTTTTGTCCATGGCTTAGGGTTAGTCAGAGATTCTTGCTGCGGTACAACAGTGTGTGTGATGTACCTAATTAGCATGTGGAATGTAACTTCACAAGCTGTGTTGCTCAGGTACTTCTTTGAATTATTAGTAAATAAAACAGATTTTTATCTGCTTGTTAGGGAACTAAAGTATTCCTAAAACACCATTATTTTTAGTTTCACTCTAACCTGTGGGAACTGTAAGCAATCACTGAGGATTCATGTAAAAACTGCCCATTGAGCCCTGTCTTACAGCAGTGCTCCTTTCTCACAGATTCTTCAGTGCAGGTGCTCATCTTTCATAGTTAACCTTGTCTTTGGGAAGTAGTTTTGATCACTAATGTATTAAATTCTCTGATGTTGTAGGTGCTTCATTACCTTGCAGTTCAGAAACCATCTGACCTTGCAAGGCACCTCTTGCCCTGCATCATCCATGCAGCTGTACTCAAGGTAAAGGAAGAAGGTAAATAATGTTTAATAAATCATTAAGATATTTTAGGGTGAGCCCTGGTGCAGTAATTACAATTTCTTCATTTCTTTTCCTCCTAATAGAGGCACTAGAAGATATCTCTTCAGTTAAGAAAATTATTAAGCAGATCATATCCCATTCCAGTAAAGTTCTACGATTCCCCAGTCCAGAGGACAAGAAGCTGGAAGTAAGTAAGGCTTTCGTACTGGCTGGGGCTGAAAACCTAATAGCCTTCTACACTGTTCATGGGAGTGCTAAAAGAACACCTTTTATTGACGTTTTTATTGAACTCCTGCAGGAAATCATTGCTCAGATTATGAGTGGGGAAGCTATCATCGCCAGGGCCAGGTCTCTGAAAGCAAAATTTGGGGTAGAGAAATGTGAAAATGAAGAGGAGAAAGAAGATCTACAAAGGTGACTGATTTTTTTTAAATTTTATTTTTATTTTCCCCGGTGTTGTTTTGTTTTGCCTCTGATGCCCCTTTTTTGTACTTTCAGACGTTAGGACAGATGGAAGTGGCGAGAATACAGAAATACTGAAGGGTTGTATTTAGTAACTGCACAGTAGGTGTCCCTGTCCCTGGGCTGCCCGGAGGTGTTCTGTGAGCACCCTCAATGCTCCTCTAAGTAACTGTCTCTCTGAAAGCCTGTGATACAGGCTGTTCCATGGAATCTGGTTTTGACTTGACAGTACTGGGGATTCCTTTTTTTTTTTTTTAATGTAAAAGGTGTATTTGAGGAACTTGGTTCCAACAGAGGTAAAATTAGAAGGACTAGGGCTTTAGTGTTTTCTGTAACCAACATGGAATGAAATACCTGCCCCCCTCCAAGTTACATTGTCTTATTCTGGTCTCCTTACTGATCTGAAGCACATTGCTGAGACTTCCTGCTCCTGTGCCGAGAGGGAGAGCTGGCGGTTTTGTCGTACGTGTTGGGAGTTCAGAGGAGTGATCTGTCTTTGTGCTCCAAAAACTGCTCATGTTGTTACTACTTGGGGTGTGGCTGACCCCGTGAGGGCTTTTCCTGTTGAATTGGTGCATCTGCGTTAGAGCCTGGGTTCCGTTTGTAGCGAACTGAGGGAGGTGGGTCCTTCCAGAGGCCGAACGGCCACCCAGGGGTCCGTTGGCCCTGCTGCTGGAGTTGCCACGCCGTCAGCTGTGTAACCCTGCCTCTCCTGGCCCTGTGGGGCGGGCTGCTGAGTTTTGACCGATGTTACCTGTGAAAGAACAGCCGCTTGTACCAGCGGGAGAGAAAGAGCAATGAGGCGGGAGGGAACAACTGAAGGCTGAGGGGGGCTTAGCCTTTAGAGTAGAGAGATTAAGGTGCTGATAGTGTTTGAGTGGGATGCTGAGAAATGTCAGGGGTTTGTCATTGAACTTTTAGGAGGATCCTTGGGAGTGTCTGCCAGTTCTCGCTCCGTGCAACTGCTGCTAGGTGGAGACCTCCTCCCAGGGAATGATGCTGGGTTTAGATCAGCAAACTGGATACAGCTGAGAATTAAACTTCCCTTTTTCCTTTTTGATAATGTGTACCACCAGGTTCGTGAACTGTCTCCTGGAGCAGCCAGAAGTGTCAGTCATTGGTGCAGGAAGAGGACCTGCTGGCAGCATCATTCACAAGCTGTTCGTGAATGCTCAGAGGGTAAGAGAGTGCTCTTGATCGCTTTACAGGCACGTCTAAGCGGTATGAGGCAACAACTTATCACATGATGCCAGTTTATTTTGTCTGCATATATGCATGTAGTGTCGTAAATGTGCTTTTGAGGATTTTTTTGTGATGTTCAGCGTGATTTTTGGCAATAACAGAACCTTGCAAGATGAAAGAGGAGTAGATGACCTGGGATGTGAAACAGTTAGAGCCAGCTGGGTGGGTAGAGGTGTCATTAATGCTTGATTTACTTCAAATGGTAACATCAGTGATGCTGTTAGGGCACAAATTTCTGCTTTATTCAAGTTTCACAGTATATGCCACATCACAGCAAGAACAGTCAAGTGTGTTCGTTGTTTCATGTAGGAATGTAGAGAAACACGTCATAGTGTTAAGTTATTTTAGAAGTAACTTTTTAGACTGAGGCTTATACTTGGAATACTTGAGACTTCTTCTGTGGAAACTAGTGTGCTCAGGGCCAGTTTCAGTCCTTTTCCAGTCCAGCTCTGCATCCAGTTTACGCAGTGCTGCATCGGTTTTCAGGAAATGCTTCCCCAGCCTGTATTGGTATAAATATTCCCTTTTTCTCTTAAGCAGTCTTCGTAATAATTCACCTTAAAGTATTGATTTCCAAACTTCTCGGACTGCACTCAGCCTGCAGTTGCTGTCAGAGTTACACTATTCATAGTATCAAACTATCTCACTAAAATTTAACTACAGTGGTAATCACAAGGTTGCGTAGTATCGCAGACATCTTGGAGCCTGAAATCCTGTTTGGAAATCATGGCTGTAAAAAACGTTGCGATTGGGTATTAAACACTTTTGCGATATGGATGTTTTTATAAGTGTCTGTATTTTGCAATTCAGCATAAAAAGGACCATTCTGAAAACAGAGCATGGTTATTCTGAGAAATGAAAATCGGAACATTTACTTCATCCTGCTGGTCTCTAGGGGAAACGCGGTGGCAAATGCCAACAGGTCAGGCAGCCTTACTTAGACCTCCCTGTAACGCCTGAGGTTGTGCCCTGTGAGAGTCCGCCAGCGAGCGCACTTGCCTTTTTAATGTTGAGGCATTATGTTTTTAAAGCCAAGTAAAAGTTTCTAGCATTAATGTTTGATAAAGATGTATGCAAATTTCTGGGGTTTTGTTCTTTTGAAACATCAGTAACTAAAGCTAGGTCTGCTAGTAGGTGCTCACTGGTAGTTAAGGCTTCTTAGCGGGACAGGAGCCAGCTTGCTACAAACCCTGCCGTGATTAATCTGCTGTGAGATATTTCAGTAGAGAGCAGTTTGGTAAATAGAAATTGAATTACTTCTCTGTTCATTACCTTTTGAACCTGGACTCCTCTCTGAGTGGTGTAAAATGTGGTGTTATATCCTCAAGTGTTCTCAGAAAAATTACAATAGCAAATGCATGTTCTTGGAAGCAGAGTGCATGATATCTCTTTAACCTACAGCCTCCTTCTAACCTCTTGTAAGCCACCTCTGACTTGCCTTTGTTTCTGTCTTTCATCACTGGTTCTTTTCTCATCCTTTTCCAAGCTGACTGAATCTTCTGATGAGGTAACCAACTTTGTCCCTCGTTTCCCACTCATCTTCCCTAGCTGCATAGAGCCAAACCTCTTGGTAGCTACAGTGCAGCAGCCTGACTTAGTGTACTGTTGTTCACATATTAAGCATTAAAATAATTTTGTGTTTCCAGAATGGTTTTTCCTCATTCACAGACTTTATTTTTAGAGCCTAACAGGTCGTGAAAAGAAACAGAAATCTTTTTTTTTTTAAAAAAAAAACCAACCCCAAAACAAACAAAAACATTTCTTCAAGTGGATATTAACATTTTTCTGATGCTGAAATATGTGGCCATGCCTTTATATAACCATCACTGTTCTTTGTTTATTGAACAGCCAGATGTTTTGGGGGGGCGGGGGGAGGTAGCGATGGACAGTAGCTGAAGGGTGCAGTCGAGAGACCAGGACTTATCGAGACCACTGAGCTGTTGGGACAGAGGTATGGAGGGGTTTGGGGAGGAGCTGAGGTAACTGCATGAAGTGTAGCACAGGGATCGTCCTCTCTGCTGGGTTCCTAGAATTGCTTGTGGGAGCGAGTGGCACTGGGCCCTGGTGACTTCTCCTGTGGCACAGGCCCCAGAGCTCAGCGGGGCCGGGTCCCTGCTCCGGGGAGGGATGGGAGCGGTGGTGCATTGCAGCAGCGGAGAGGGGCCACAGGGGTCCTCTGGTGTGTTCTGATGAGCTTGAGTTGTGCACACTTACCTTAGGACCCTGTAGGGTGTTGGGGGTGTAGCTGCGTAATTAGGCAATGCTTACTGGGCTGACTGGAGCAGGGCAGCCCTTCCTCCAGTATTCAGACTTCAGTGCTGCTGCGTACTGGCTCTGAGGCAGCGAGCATTGATGGGGACTGCACAGCGTCGCGCTTGCTCTGCAGTGCCACTTCGGCAAACCTCTGGCCCTGAAAAGCACGTATCAAAGTAATATTTTGGGTTTGAAAAGGCAGGTGACTATTTGTCAAGACTCTGAGAGGCTGGCTTGGCCTCGTGTAGCCAGAGAACTGAAGAGAGAGAGTCCTGCTTGAGAGGGGGGCATGTTGTCTGGTGAAAACATCAGGAGCTTAATCTGGGCTGAGCTTCACCATCCACACATGAAGGTTCTTCCATTTGATTGTGTGCAGTTTATTTCTTCACATCCCATTACTGTCTTGCTCTGTGTACACATGAAGCCTTTCGATGTGTTCACCATTTCTGATCTTCCTCCGTTCCTCTTGGGAAGTATTTTCTGAATCCTGATGTCGAGAAAGGGCGTGCCCTGTAATTATGACCCCTCTGCTCTGATTGCAGGTTTCTGCAGTGCCTCCGCTTGACGAAGAGTTGAGGAGATCCGGTTTATCCGAGGAGCGCCGACTCAACGCAGGGGCCGTTTCAGATTTCCCTCCGCCCACGGGTCGCGAGGTGATTTTGCGCACAACTGTCCCCCGCCCCGCTCCTTACTCCAAGCCGTTGCCCCAGCGCATGTACAGCGTGCTGACCAAGGAAGATTTCCGACTTGCCGGTGCCTTTTCAGCAGATACAACGTTCTTCTGATGTACCCAGCTACGTTACCTCGTGTGTCTTCACAAGCAGCGTGCTCTTGGTTTTCCTTCCGGGAAGCTGAGGTTACAGGTTGGCTGGCTTGTGAGGAGGCAGTGCGGCCGGCACTAGGGACGGAGTGTCGCGTTCCCAAGGGCAGAGGTGAGGAGGATGGCTGGAGCAGCTCTGACATGGAGGTCTGGAATGGCTTCACAAGTGGTTGTAATCCCATCTTTGAGGAAGAAAGTGCAGCAATCTCCTCTCTGTCCAACGGGAGCATATTCATTTTTTTTGCATTAGCTTGTGTAATAACAGACATGAACAGGCTGTGCGCAGCTACTTCATGTTGGAATTCACGCAGCATGCGCTGCTTTACAGTTCTTAATCGACTTTATCAAGTGACATTAGTCTACTTAAATTGATGTGCAAATGTTAAGTAACGTGTATTTATTGCTAATCATAAATATTTGAGCCCAGCATTTTTTGGTCAATCACTAAGTTGCAAGTATATCTAAGATGATACTCTTATTTTTATTTAAAGTACACAGTATGTTCTAGTTCATGCTAAACTCTCCTAGCATTGCAGCAGGTGGCCAAAGAGATCTTGTCTTGGACACAGAAGTAAACGTGTCCAAGCAGAAGCCCCAGCGGCTGGAGGGACTGGCTTAGCGCTTGGGATACTTTATACCCTCCCCTGCACACGAGGGCGAAAGCTGGATGTAAGGGACACGTACAGGGGTGTCACTATAAGCAACTTGCTGGTAGGGCGGGGGGCCCTTGCGCACGCGCAGTGTCTGTGATCTGACACGCTGAAAGAGTTCGGTCACCTGCTGTAAGCTGACCCCCGTGGCTGTCACGCAGACGCCATGATGTGTACGTGCCAATGATGTTGCTTGACAGTGATCTTTGTCTGTTGTCATGAGAATCAGCAAAACATCAGTGTTACTTGACAAAACAAAGTGTACAAACAGCTGCAGTATTGTTGACATGACTCAATAAATCTGAACTTATTGCTGGTTCACTGACGTCTCTGGGGACCAGCAATGGTTTTGTCAAAATACTTCTTAAACGTCATCCTTGCATCACTTGATGAGCAAGCAGCACTGTCTGACTGTGACTGCCCTAAGTCGAGGAAGCCAAGTTCTGCCTCAGACAGCAGGGTCCCCCGTGTTACCCTAAAACTTCTTTGAGGTCAGGGGCCAGAGCGTTTCCCTCAGATAAGGCAGCATCAAGTACAAATACATTTTTGGGGATAAAGAAGAGCTAATTCTCTTCAGAGAAAATCTTGTCACGCAATTTGTTCTCCAGGCTGTTTGTGCTTTACCTGAGGCAAATTTCGCTGATAAAAGGGTGGAGAAAGACAATGGCCAATTGAGCTGCTGTTCAACTATCTCGCTTCTTCAAAAGAAACCACACCTGGCTCATTACTGAGTAAGTAATCTTTAACTTAAGCGTCTTCCCAGATACTTACTCCTGGTTTCCTCCCCCCTGGCATCCTGTCTTCGTGAAATTTTACATTAAAGTGCAGGTCTCTGGTCAAGGCTGTGTAAACCTGAAAATCCCTCACTTACTGCTCAGGCTCTTCTTACTTGGTCTTCTCAACTGCTGACGGGACTTGATCACACTCGGAGAACACAAACGTCATGTAACGCTTGTTTCAGGCAGTTACCTAAAGGTGTCTGCTGGAAAAGGCCAGTTAGGTTCGTGCTACAGAAAATGGCGCACTCAGGCCACCACCTTGCTTAAATCTGTGATTGAGGAAAAGAATGTTTAAAGCTTTACAGGAAAGCTACAGGAGCAGTCCAAAATAACCAGCATTTCTGCAATCTCGTGAAGGAGAATGGGACCAGAGCATTTCCCAGAAACGACCTTTGGTGAGATAACTGGTAATATTTATTGCTCCTTATCATGAACAAGTTTTTAATACACGCTGGGTTAAGTAAAACCAGATTTCAATAGACAGTAATTCTAAATGCCAAGAGCCTGGCAGGCAGCAGGCCTTTCACGGCTGGTCAGACCTGCGTGAGACACAAATCACTCACCCATGCTATTGTTGTCATAATAGAGACCAGAGCCTGTGTCTTCTCCAGCAGTTTTGATACGTGAACAAAGAAAAGAATTTAAACAACTAAGATATCCTCTTGGTCCCTCACGTCCCCAACACCATTGAACCCTGCACAGCCCACGGGAGTTTCAACAGGCCTTCCTTGAACACTTGCAACTCTTAACGGCGCTGTAAGAGGAAACCAGTAACGCTTTAAAAGGGCGTTAAGGTTACACACGGATATTCGGCTTCAAACCACAGGGTCATGAAAACAGATAATCATGATAGGGCGCCTGGGAGACACTCGCCCAAGGCCCTCTGCCAGTCAGTCACAAATTACTACTTGGGTTTAACACCGTATTTTCTTCCCTCTCCCAACAGTATGATAGACTACAAAGATTATTTTTTTTTTTTCAGTTGGTGCCTGAGGAAAACTACGTAACTGCTGGTTTCTGAGTTACATGCAGCTGAATCTTACTTTGCATTTTACATCTTCACAAAAAATTGTGTGATATCACAGCCGTACTTTGTAGCTAAAGAGCGCCTCTTCATCTGGCTTCTTTCCTTGGCCTGATTTGCAGTTCTCTGCGAAAGAGAAAGACAGGCCTGGTCAGTAAGTGGTGTTACTTGGCAACGGCGCGCTTGGTGGAAAGCATTACCCCCCCAGTTAAACTGCGCTCTGATTTTGCAGCAGACAATGTAAAACGCAAATGTTTAAGGTGACATTTTCCCAAATCCCAAGGAAACCGTTGCAACAGTTCCATGCTACCTTTCCACCTTCACTGTACGGGATGGAGAGGCTGGGAGCACAGGGGTGCTTCAGCGGGAGACAAGGGGGCTGAGGAGGGACCTAATTACAGGCTGCGGGTGGGAGCCGTGGGGGGCACAAGGGGCAGGGGCTGTGGGAGGCGGTTTCACCCCGAGGGTGGGCAGGCGCTGGCAGGGTGAGACGTGCAGGACTGCACAGGGCGGTGCTGAGCAGGTCGGAGCCTGGGGTCAGGCTGCCTTGCCTCCAGGGGTGCCTGTGCCCAAAATACTCCCGTGATGGTAACCACATCCCACACCACCTCCCTGCGAGGGGGTCGGGATTTCGGCCGCACCACACTGACCTCTCTGTGGCAGACCGTACACAGAGTCTGAAGGTTTTCCAGGGAGCACTGTCCTCCTCCACTGTAAACGGGCTTGATGTGGTCTACCTGCCAGAACTGGCCTTCCGTCGGGTTTGTTATAATTTCATTCAACTGCAGTAAACAAAGGACGTGACGTTGGAAGCATTAGATACTCCTTCTGCACGACAGGCATGTTCTTCCGTCAGAACACGAGAATAATTCAGGGAAGTAGCTACTTCCAGTTTTCATCAAGAGCAAGACAGACAGCCTTAGCGGTTTTTTTTGTTACTTCCAAGCAAACAACTGTCATTTTAGTTGGCATATTTTCACCTAGCCTGCTGAAGCACATTGCAGTGGATCAAGGAAAGACAGAATGAAAGGTTCAGTTTTCTTGATTGGCACAGTAAATTATGTTCAATGCCATTTTATCATCAAGTGCTGGTATTAAATATATACAAATAAAAAGAGTGTAACAGCTATAGTCCCATCATAAAAATTCAAGACTAACTAGATGTTTGTAATTTACATTTTTCACCAAGTCAGTGGTAATCGTAATAGCAAGCACTGAGAAACCTTAGGCAATGAAGCCTTAAGCCAGCTTTCAAAACCACTAAGGACTAACTTAACAGGGAGTTGTGTCCACTGAGAAGGCTGTAAGATCGAATCATAGAATCATTAGGTTGGAATAGACCTCTAAGATCATCAAGTCCAACCGTTGACCTAACACCACCAGGCACACTGAACTATGTCCCAAAGTGCCACATCTACACGTTTTTTGAACACTTCCAGGGATGGTGACTCCACCGCTTCCCAGGGCAGCCTGTTCCAGTGCTTGACCGCTCTTTCAGTAAAGAAATTTTTCCTAATCCCCCGACTCCACTTCTCATCTCAGTCTTTTGGACATGCACCACCTGATAATCAAAAGCTGCAAGCAGCAAAGCTGACCTTGTGCATGCAACCAGTGATAGTAAATTTCCTTTCTTTTTTCTTTTACAAGTTTCAGTGGGTGTCTGAAGAATTTATTGAAACAATTTAGCACCAGTAGCTTCTAAAGCAAATTTCAATTTTGCAGCAGAAAATAAAATAGTATTTTAGTTTCTGAATAAAACCACCACTTCACGTAGGAACGTTCTCCCGCCCTGCTCCATTGCCTTCAAGTCAGTGAAGGCACAGTCCCAGCCATGGAAGGACGGAGGTAGTCTGTAACGCATTGAGGTGACACCGAGAGGAGCTGTGACAACTGGCTTTTGTTAAGCTCCTACCAAACGTGCTGCGAAGATGGAATAACCTTGTACTGCTAGACTACACCTGTGCTTAAATGGCTTCAGAACCATAAAGTGCCTTTCAAGTACAAGCAGCTGCGGTATTTACATCCGTCCCTAAGGAATCAGCATTCTGATGCCTCTGCCTTTTTGAGAGGAAAAATGTGTTAGAAGACATTGGGATTTCTTTTTTTTGTCCTTTTTTTTTTTTTAATTATTCTCCTGTTGGTGTAGGTTAACCTTCTATCTCAAACCTGTAAAAAGAACATTTTGGATTTCTCTGAACTATCTGCTACAGAAATACACACTTACTTAACACCCAGTACTATTACCTGCCCAAGCGGAAGGTGAGACATCCAAGAACTCTCCAGAAGTTTCTTCCGCTGACTCTTGGGCGCACCTCTGATGCGGAGATAAAGCTCCTGGGCGTTTTGGTTACAAAACTGGCAAACACCATGTTCAATTTCAAACACTTTAGTCCTAAGGTAGCTCTGACTAGAGCGAATCGAGAAGTCCTCCTGGCAGGCATGAGAGCAGAACCGTGTGTCCCAAGCACGGGCCTGGCAGCCTGGCTCAAGGTGAGCTGTCGGCTGCTGGCAGCTGAGACACAGCGGGTTCCCTTGGCTGTCCAAGGCTTGCAAATACCCTTTGGAGAGGGGGGAGCCTTCAGCTTCAGTCTGCGCCGAGAGAAGAGCTGATGGACCTTTCCCATTTTCTGAGAGCAACCTGTTTGCAGAGAACGGAGCGCAGTTCTTAATAAAGGAGGTCTTCAGCACGCAATTCAGGAGCTTTTTTATGCACTGCATATTTCCATCAGATATCTTTTATGTGCCAAAATAGCAATTTTAGTTGAAATAATATCTTGCAGAGATTGATACCTGCACAGTGCAAATCATCTGCTTGGTTTATGTTTCCATTTAAACATTTGACAATAGAACAGACAGATTTTTCTTTTGCACATCTTAACACATTTACATATGTACACTGAATTATTAATTGAAATAATGCTGCACTCATAAAGAAACAGTGGTTTCTATCAGGCATGTACACATATCAATGTAAAATGTTTCATCCCCCTCTCTTACAGAAGTAAAAACGTCAAAGGAAACATCCTGGTTTCTCTACACAGCCTTCATGGCTACCTAGCAGTTTCCTGCTCTACACAAGGGTTACCTCCAGGCAGGATACACACTGCTTCTTCAATAAAATTTTTTAAAAGGGCATTTTCTGTCTAGAATTTTCATGTTCTTTTCTCCCTTTCTCTAAATCTTGAGGCAAAACAGAAGAAAATTTGGTGTCCCCAATTTGCTGTTGACCTCACAAGCAGGCCGGAGCTAACCTTCTTTTTTCCTTAACTGAATCGTGTTAACTATTTTCTTGTTCCGTTTTAATCAGACTCAGTTAATTAGCAGCTGTATTGGCAGACAACAGATGTAATCTAAATTGTTACACGAATAAACCACAGCTCATTAGCACTACAGCAAGTTTCTTAGTAAACACTCTACTTCAGCAAGGTAAACACTCATGGCAAATAACTTTGCTACCTTAAAACAAAATTTGTGGAGAAAGAGCTTAATCACCCTATTGCACTAATGAACTTACTTTGTTGAATGACCCGATTCTTCAACAGAAGCGTTCTCCCTCTTCACACAAACCCTACTTTCTTTTGAGATGAGGCGCACGCTGCCCCCGCTGCTGCTGGCTTTGATAAGTGAGGCTGCTGCGACATCCTCCTTGGTCACGTACCTAAAATAACCAAAAATTCTGTCACTGTACTACAAAGGGAACAATCTCCCTCAAAGAATACTCACTCTTGGCTGCAGCAAGATCGGTGCAGCAAGTTCTCTTCAAATATTCCTCACTTCCCGGGTGAGAAATGAATAGAGTTTGGGAAACCAGACTTCACCACAATACTTCCATATTAAATAAAACCAAATTCAGCTCTAACCAGCAAACAGGTAAGTTGGTTTGTACATAACAATTAAAAAAATGAAAGCAATTTGATATTGCCTGACAGTGAAGTCTGAATGCCATTTTGTTTCAGGTAGGTGAAGTCTCACTGACATGCTAGGTAAGCCAGGAAGCTTTACAAGCTCTGGAGGACTCCTTGCTCTGGTAGTTATGTTCCAACTCACTTCTTTATTTTAATGTGAAAACATACACACTCTCTTATGTAAAGCTTTTTAAATCATTCTTCCAAAACCCACTCTTCAGACAACTTCTCAGAAGTCCACCTCTGTACCATACCTAGGCCAAACCATAGAAGGCCGCTGTAGGTTATGGCAGGTTTTCTAACACGGTTCACAGTTAGATCTTTCCTACGTTTCATGGAAGGACCCAATCAGGCAATAGGTTAAGAAACTTAACTACCTGCTGCTTCTCCTTGTATTACTGGAATTACAAACTCTACTGATTTATTTGAGTTCTTACCAAAATAGAGTCACCCTGGAGAATTTAACAGTAGGAACTGAGAAGAATAAAAAGGTTTTAGATAGTTCGCAGAGGCAGCTTGGTGAGTTAACCTGTGCACGGGAAGTTTTGTGGAGAGCAATGACAACACTGAAGCTGCAAATGTCCGTCAGGGAAGACAGTGTATCAGAAAAAGGAAAGAAAGTAGAAAAAAAGTAAATTAGATTTTAACAAGGATTAAATACCAGTCCTTTTCAGTGACTCCCAGCAAGGAAAACAATAGCTTCAAGAAATGTCATCCACAGAGAAAAGAACTGATTAAAGAAAAAATGAGTATCAGAAAAGGTTGGAGTAGGCTGTGAATCCTGAATAAAACATGGTATTATTGATGGCAACTAATGGTTTATTTCTGCTTCCAGGTGGGGAAAACAAGATTCTTTGACCTTACTTTTCTGTTTTGTCCCTGAGGTCAGGATTTTTCCTCAAAAATCTCTGGCAAGTTCCAGATGTATAAACATGAAGAGCTGCTGGAGGCAGCGCAGCCCCGGACAGGGAAGCAGATGCTTCCGTTCCAACAGATGTACTGACATGCTCCGTTGCCTACGTTTGTCACCATGCGACAAGCGACCATTGAATGGCCAGTTTAGTCTCAGCGTCATTCCACTGAAAGTTACATTAAATATATCAAACTTCCTGCAGCAATTAGTAAGAGGAATAAAAATTAAACACCACGTACCTTTTTGTGCTGCTGACTGCGGACTGCTTTTTAGACAACTCCTCTGCAGCATGGATAGGACTACAAAATACCTGACCACTTTTTCTGACAATCCTCTGTTTCATCGCTGTCAGATGACTCCATTCTTTCACAAACCTCAGTATCTGGTAGAGAATGCTATTGTCAGCGGCATGACAGACACTACACAGAGCTATTTAATTACAGTGAAAGAGAGCTATGAGTTAATACATTCAAAACTGGATGAAAACCGCTGGTATGATTGAAGATGGTCCCTTCAAATCATTTTTCAGACAAGCTGCAAGCCCCACCCTCACCTGCTGAAGAACTCAGACAGCTTTAGCACTGACTACAAGAACTACGTGTGTTGATCCACTAGGCAGAAAACAAGTCCAGAAATACCTTTACTAACCTCAGGTATAGCGATAGAAGCATTTCTCGATAAAGCCCCAGGTAAACATTTCTTGTGTAAGCAAGACTTTGCTGATGGGAGAAACAGACATGCAAAGGAGCTTTCATCTTACAGCAGCCAGCGTCTCAGAAAAGGAAAGTTCACTCCCATTACTTGAACGGCATTTGTAACTGGGTTTACGGACAACCCTTCTTCTTTCCTCTAACCTTCTGATACATGCTTATCGCTGGATTAACAACCTGTTAGGTCAGTGTGAGAGTCTTAGCTACAGGTTAACCGGAAGAGCTGTTCAACCAGGTATTAGTCCATCTCTCAGCAAATGTTTTCCAACTTGCAGAATTTTAATGGGATCACTGATGTACTTGCTTTGAGGTTATTACATTCCTTTATAATAATGCAGTGTCAGAAAAACACACGTAATAAAAATTATTATAGTAAATTAGCAATTAATGACATGAGAAATCAGATCAAATTATCTTAATGCATCTGTTTTTTTGGCAATACTGCTGTCCTCTTTTCTGTGGCATTTCAGCGCAGCACACAAAGACCTGAGTAGCAAGTAGAGACCATCAAAAGTAGAGACCATCAAAGGCCAACAGTTTTGAGCAGTCCAACCTGCCTTTCGCCTTTTTTCACAGTCATCTCAAATGGTCACAACCACAGGATCGCAAGGAAAAACTGATGACCTGTTTACCCAAGTGTTTCAGAACAGAAATGGAGACTACAGCACAGTGTTGACCACCTTTCCTTATTTTGCATTTAGAATTTAAAAGTATAACAAAATAAAGAGGCTCAGAGGAACTTAATTTCTAGTACCGAATCTAATAGTTGTTTTACAGGCTGGGAAGCCACAAAAAAAACAACTTTGAAGCTGTAACTGACAGGACTGGTACGATTTACAGATCTCCTTAGTAACTACAACCACAGAACAGTGAGGAAGTGAGGGAAACACTGTTCAGCAAAGGAATTTGTAGTTACAAAATATGGCTGTTTGCTTTAGGATGCACGTAGGGGAAAAATGATTTCATCCTGTCCTCATTTCTCCAACAGAAAATAAATGGGAGTAACAATATGACAACTGAACAAGTGGCTTGGTGATTTTTTTTCCCATTCCGGTTTTCCACTCTACTCCCCACTGACTTGCAACTACCTACAGCAGTCAGTATCACGCCGCTTCTGAACACGGACTATGGGAAGAATAAAACCAATGTGCAGTAGGGACTTAATTGTGACTCCAGCTTTATCAAGGAACAAACTTCCATACTTCAAGATTACAACATGGCAACGATTTTCTTTTTCTCCTTGGAATACTTCTCCATGGCAAATGTACAAGCTTACAGATAAGCCTCACTTCGTCAGAGTCAGAGCAGCAAGAAAGGAGTCAATGGATAATGGAAACAGAAACAAGAAGGTATTTCCGTGATTCTTTTGGGGAGCATTTACTAAGATGGATCTTCCACTCCAGAGGAGAAGGCTGAGGGCCAGGACATCCCGTAAGGCAGTGCCACTCTCTGCCCACAAACACGGGATTCTTAACGTGTCCTTTCAGTCTAGCAAACAGCTTTGAAATCCTCTGGCAACACTTGCGTTACCCACTCATTAGCTGCTTCACAAAACCGTTGGTTGAATCAGTCAGGTATCTGACTTAAGAATTTAGGTTCCAACCTTGCTGGAGAATCTACCAAAAAGAATCAGTTTTGTTCCTACGCAATAGAATCTGATTTTTCCAAATTATAATTCTGTTTAAATGGAGAAAGCAGTTAGGAAAACTATGTTAAGCAGGTAATACTGCACATCCAGTTTAAATTCCGTATTTCCTTACTAGAGTACTTGGGTTTACAGCATTAATGTTCTCCTCAAACACCAGTACGAATGTGATCTTTATTACTGAATTCACTGAAGCTACATGTCTCAGCGGGGCTGTGCCCTGCACGGCTCTGAAAACTGTTAGAAGACCAAAGGAGAGTGGAGGCCTGCTCAGAACTGCAGCTCTGATACCATCTAGCACATTCTTATTCATCATGTGCCCCATTTAATTCATAACCTTTAAAAAGCTATTTTGTTGACTTACGAATGTTAGTTACTAATCCTGTAAATGAGAAATTAAATGATGCCTGGTTGATTCCATCGACTGAAATGTTAACAGGAGGCATGATAATTTGCCAAAGTAACAGACTGCATAATTAATATTCACATCAACATTTATAAGATCTGCTTGCGTTGATGAAACTGTGCCTGGATCCCAGGGCCTGGAAGTGTTCTGCATTTATTTTAAAAAAAATAAGTCAAAGCCCTCCATACTAAGTATTATGATACTGTGCCAGTAGAATTTGTTCTTACCGATGAACGATTTCGTTTATGCTGGAAAGTCTCCGGTAAATCCTCCCAGTTATCCAGCTGTATGTCCAACGGAATGAAATTATGATTCAGTTGTTCACCATCCTAGACAAGGAAACAGTTGTGTTTACAGATGCAATATAGCACAACCTAGAAAAAAAAACTTAACCTGTTTCAAGTGAATTATCCTCCCTTCCTAAGTTTAGTCCCTCAAGGTAAGACTTTCCATAAACAGACAATAAGCCACAGATGTATGATAATAGCACAGACGAAATAACATACATAAGAAGTAACATGAAAGTAAACAGGGTGAAAATTTTTACTTTGAAAATATCCGAATTTTTTTCTTTGCAAATAGTTCAGACACACAAACTGCCTTAAATTAAGAAATTGAAGTTATAACCCTCTTGACTGAATTTCCAAGGGAAATGAAAGATTGTAGACTGGAGAATGTCACTTCATTACAATTTAAAATCAGAATCTTAGATAGAACATTGTTTATTATACTTTTTTTTTTTTAAATGCCTGAACAAATTCTCCTCCACTTAATTTTAAAGGAACAAGTTGTCCCAGTGGGTACATATGACCCAGGAACTTACTGATGATTCACAAACATCTGAGAGAAGGAATCAAAGCAGAGTTTCCCAGTGTTTCATCGTTCAGCCAAAAGATTTTGTGCAGTATCTGGCATAATGAAACACTAATCCAAGCTAAAACCGACCCAGACCAATATACAGTTGCCCAAATACCATCCAAAATGCATCTTTGACTAAAACGTGTGAAGCTAGGCAGCAGGGTACATTGAAGCATACTGAACAAGTTTTCAGATACAAGAGGACCTTCTTTTTTACTTTTTACAGCTGTGTCAGTGAGCCTTATAAAAATGTATTATCTCAAAGCCTTGCCCTCAGTTATTTGTGATGCTTTGCAGTTGCACCTGAATACACTGACTCATTCAGTAGCTTTGAAGAAATCCTCTCCGTGAACTTTTCTATCCCTTAAAAGAAGGAATTGGAGAGTCCTGACTCCCCCTTGAAAAATGACCTGGAAAACTACCAACTGCTAGTTTCTGTACTCCCATCACCACTGTCGATTCATGATAATGTGTTTTATTCAGGAAGTAACTGACTTATGCACAGCACCAATGTCTAGCTTTCCGAAAATGTGATGACAATATTCTATCTTCTTGGTCTGTCAGGATTCACTGTAATTTTGATTTTAATTTTGAATGTTCTTCTATTAAAAATATTTTGTGATAAGACACTATAATAAAAAAAATGTATCTTAAAAACCTATCAATTGCATTTCCAACAGATGATCTGAGAATACATCTAATGTATTAGCCCCATTTTCTAAGCTAAGACAAATGTTAGAAGTTACATATCTAGGGAATTACTACTTAATTCCACTGAGAAAAAGAACTAGAGTGATAAACTACTTAATTTTTGTACATTTCAGCTAATACAAAAATACCGGTCTTTTTATATAAAGCATAACAAATGAAAATCTATACATACACATTTCATAGGACAGCATTATAGTTCGCAATTTTAAAATTATAATAAACTTCCATATTTCAGGTTTACCTTTGTATAGAGGTGAATTCTATCAGTATTCCTGCTTGCACAAAACATAAGCCCATCATATATTTCAACATACTCCGATTTACCTGCATCTCCTATAAAGAGAAAAAATGCTGACATTAAAAAGTTTTCTCTTCATTCATTCTATTCAGCCTACTCAGCATCAGAAGTATTATAGACGCATCTAATTCCAGAACAACACAGTAAGATACACAGCTCGAGCAGCAAGCTATTAAGGTATTTGTGTATTTCATTTTTCTGTTTCTCCCGAATTGTCTGTCATCTGTTTTGCCTGCGGCTGTCCTGACCACAAGTAATGCCATCATAAGTTTCAATAAAACTACACAGCTTCGCAGCTGCTGTGCTGACATAGTTCTTAAGTCAGCCAAAAACTCTGTATTGCTTCAGGAGTCGTGTGGAAAGGCTGGGTTTATCCATCATCAAAATTCAATGAACATCCCAGGCTAAAATGAGAAAGTCACGTGCTGGTGTATGTAGTTCTGTCTATCTTTCCAACGTGTAGGTTTTTATTTGAAAGTTATTTTTCATGCCAGAGGCATATAATACAGTTTTGCAACTGGATATAATTCTTCTTTCATAGGAGTCCTGCTTTACCTTCTCCACACTTTTTTTCATTTTCTCCATTTTCAATTTCAACAGTTTCCTGTTCGCTGATTTCAACAGATTGCTGGGTCACCATTTCCCCAACCTCTTCTCTCCTATCTTCAGCATCACACTCTGCGCTCTCTTCATTTCTTCTGGAGTCCTTTGACACGTCTTCCTCAGTTTGACTCGTGGAAGCTTCACCTTTTCTCTCAACTATAGATGAAGAAACAAGAAAAGCAATTATTTATGCTACCTGTACAAACAGGAACCCAGTCAATACACATCTGGAGACAGGACTATGTAACCGAAACACAGAGAAATCGCATTTTATTCTCTAATGGTGCAACCGCTTAGGAAACGACAGCTACCTTTAATATTAGGAGAACACACACATGGAACAAAGTTTTCCATTTATGCAATTTCATGCACTCAGCTTAATGTCAAAATATATGCAATAAAGAATGCAGTTAGTGATGCTATATTGCATACGGTTATCGCATTCCATGAACAAAGTAGTTCTCCAAGCACTGATCTATACTTGTGAAATTCAGCAGTTGTCCTTACTTGAACAAGCAGAGAGACTTAAACAAAATAAAAAAAGAAAAAAAAAAAAAGAAAAAGAGCCTTACTCCTTCCTTTGCAATCGAAATAGCAAATATGGGGATAGAGTTATAAAAATGTTTTATTAAGTTTCCAGATAGATTAAATAAATTTAACAAGACATTTACTCTGACCTGTTGGAGCAAGAAATGCCATATTTTCCAGGTGATGTTAGTCACAACACATATGCAACACCAAGTTAATAAAACATCTATACCACATTGTTTAGTTTTGACAGGTAGAGAAAAAGTTTGCCACTTCATTGGATTCAGAATAACCAAAAACCTCAAGGAAAAGGAAAGCTACATTTGCTGCAAAGGAAACTGAGCATATACTCTTCCTCACTGAATCTTTATCCTGTTAACATTTACCTGAATTTTCCATTTGCTTCAAATCAGAATCATGTAAAAGATCCTTGGGGAAAGGAAAATTAGAAGGACCACTTAACAGGTATCTGTTCACATAAAGACACTATTCTTCATATTTTGCCTAGATCTGTGTATATTCATATACTTAAAAATACTGTTTTCTGAAAATAATCACAACTAAAATGAAAAAAAAACAAAACCCCGCATATTTGCCTCTGCAGCACACGTTACTTACCATTGCTGCTCTGAGGGCAGTTGCACATTTCACAGTAAGGGAGCAACTCATTATTACTGTAAGTGCAAGCACTACAGTGCCAAACTTTATTTAAAGCCGTACTTTTGCTTGAAGTACTGAAGCCACAAGGAAAGACTTCATTGTTGTTTTCTGAAAACAAAGAGGGCTTTTTTCCAGTCAAAGATTTTTTCTTTTTGTTACTGGAGATGACTGGAGAAGATCCACTTATGCTTCTTGCTCTTTTAGCTTCTCGTTCACAGGTACTTTCATGACATATTGTATCCACATCACTTATTCTTGTGGGATCCAGGTTTTCGTTGCTCTTCTCTGCATCCTCTTCTTTCAAGACTTCAGAAGATTCTGGATCATTATGTAACGAGTCATTACCAGCAAATATTTTGCGTTTCTTCTCAGTGGAGGATTTTGGGGAGAAGAAAGAACGTATGTCATGCTGTTTTTCCTTTTCAAACTAGGAAAGGGGAAAGAAATATGTAAAGCCTGATTATAATTATTGCATCAGAAGCTGTTAAAACTATGATTATTTTTTCTCCATAAATATTACTCAATATAATCTACAAGAAGCCACTTTTACTTTGGAGATGGAAGCAAAAGATATCTTCCTTTAAGAACAAACAGCTAGCAGAAAGAGCAACTCAACATTCCACTTCTGTTTACTAAAAAATATTTTCAATAGTCTCATGAAAATTCTGAAATAGGACTATCTGAAAACAAATACACAGAACTGGGATGCTATGTGCCTTTTTTGATTATTTGGAAAGGTTTTTAAACATTCTTTTAAAAATAATGGCCAAATAAATTCAGGACAGGTAATAAAGCTGTAGTTTAAACAGATATTACTTGCTCTTATCTGACTCTGAGGGTGTGTCAGTCACCTAAACATAAGGACCTATCAGAAGCCTGTAGATGACATTTATACCCACAGCAGAGCATGTTCCTTAACTCCACCTCATTTTTAAAATGGAATTTACATTATTTTTCCCCACTTATTTATAGTTTCTCCATAAGTAAAGTCTGCAGTGCACAGAAAGCTCACGTGAACAGCGGTTAGAATTTTTTTAAATGAAAGAAACCAGAAAAACATAAGTTTTGAGTCTTACATGTGTAAATAAAAGTTCATTTTTGGGATCCTCTAGACTTTCATTTGGGGTCCAGGTCTCAGCAAAACTCAAAAAATCCCATTTCTCCTTATCACCTTCTTCAGCCTGCATTTTCTCTTTCTTGCCATTTAGGGTGCTGCCTGTAACTTTGGCCTGCAGAAAGATGACTTGCATAAAGTTTCCAAGGAATTCACATGTTGGAACACATTTATTTACCTATATTCATTCCATTTGCTTACCTTGCAAACTTAATTCAGCATTTGCAAAGTAAGAAACTCTGTAATAATTCAAAATAACTTAAGTGATTAAAACTATTCCTCTTCCAGCAGCCACTTCTGCAAGAATATCAGTAAGTAGCATATTTAACACACCATGACTTGTGAAAAGGTATATACAAAACGTCAGTATTTAGTGAAGTTAAAAGAGAATATATACATTGTGCATATCTCTTGCAGTCTTTATACATTTTGCTTGGCACGTGGAAACCCACAAAGGCAGAATTATCTTAACCATGGCGAGTTCTTGATTATTTGATTCTATTTGACATATACCTTGCGATTCAGCATTGCCCACATAAGAGTATCCATTGTTCCTTTTGCAATGAGGAAGTGAATATTCACAGAACTGCACTGCCCAATTCGGTGTGCTCTGTCTTCTGCTTGCTTAATGTGGCCTGGATCCCAATATAATTCAGCAAACACAACGTGAGTAGCAGCAGTGAAAGTTAAACCCTAGACAAAATAAGTAGACGCATTTTAGAAAAAAAATTCCACACACAACAACGGAGTATCTGAAGTAAAAGCAAGCTAAAGGTTGTACAGGACACTTTTATATGGAAATAAGAGGGATCATCTCAACAGACAGGCCTATTACACTGACTTCTTCCTTCGGCCTCAGATAGATATAAGAAAGAGTCAAAAAATACTTCAGTGTTGTGCAAAGACTGCCTACTGCTTTTCGTTATGGAAGTAACATTTATTTCTTATTAATCTGGGACTTTCAGAGAAATAGAGTTTTTACCAATTATTCAAGAATGAGATGCTGCTGCTTATCTTGATTTCACTCAAGTAATTTCAACAGAGGCTTAACATCATTAGTGCAAAAAAATTAATATGAGTCTACAAAAGACTGGGAAGATAAGTTGCCTTCAGTAAATCACTTCAGTCACCAATTACTTGAGTACCTATATTCTTCAAGTTACTTATTTCACGTATTTTCTTTTTTTGTCCTACCTGACCAGCTGCTTGAATACTCAAAATAGCAACCCGGGTATCAGGATCCTTCTGAAACTGATTGACAAGATGTATTCTTTCTGCAGAAGGAACACTCCCATCTATTCGTATGTAGCGAACCTAAAACGTATCATAATAGGGGCAAAATGACATTATCAGCGTCCAGTTTTGAACCAAATCATCCTCTGTCCCCCGATGAAAATATGAAAACGTGTTCTATTCCCGTCATGGGGATAGGGATGCATCTGTGCTCTTTTGCCCTTTGATTGACAATTAAGCCTCTATCTAGACAAGTGTAGACTTAGTATTCCCTGTTTACAAAAGAATGAACAGGGGATTGTAAAATGGAACACTCCACAGAATAATCTGTAATTTCCCTGACAGGATTTATTAAGAATACAAGCATTTGCAAAATAATAACAATATAAAATGCAAAGTTAGCCAGCATTCCCTAGCAATGGTTGAGAGTCCATGATCAACATAATACGAAGTTTGTCTGCAAACATTTTTGCTGCTTTGAATTAAGCGCTCAGGTGAGATGAGTGTTCTGTATACAGCACACGTACACGAAAGCACATTGGTAGAAAAACTCGGGAAACAACTGCCTACAACATTGATTCAAGAATAATAAAGTATCATACCAGATATGAGTGTCTACATTATCCTTAAATACAAAGCAGTTCTTCAAAACCACACGATTCCTTTTAATCCAGCAGCACTGATCTGTATATACTTAAAATCCATAAATTCCTGTACACACAGATAGTTCTACTGAATTCAAAACCAGCTCACATGTGTTTGTAAAGTCTGAAGTTAAATTTGTGTGTACATTTGTTAAATCATTACCTTATTTTCTATAACTGCCTCTGTACAGGCTTGAAGCATGCTTAAGTGATGAGCAAAAACTAGAAACTTCAGTTTGTCATTTTCAAGCATCATTTTGATATAGTCCTTTACTGCTCCTGCCTGGAGTAAGAGAGTGCATTTTCATTAGTTAGACACAAAATGTTCAAAAGACAGTTACTATTTTCATGTCTTTCAATATCTTGCAATACAAAAAGGTGTATTTCCATACTTTTTGTTATCCATTTAAGACATTATCAAACACTAACATTGTTAAGCATAAAACTATTCAAATTATTTTTGTTTAAAAACATTATGTCTTTGAGAAACCTATCCCATTCCTTCAGAGAAAAAAAAAATATCCTCAAAAGATCACATAACTACATGGCACTTTTTCCAGACTAAGATGTAGATAAAACCCCTTTTAGTTACAATATCATTAACCCATGTTTTAAGCCACATTCAAAAAAACCAAAACTGATTTCTGCACAAACATATTTCAAACAGACAAGGTACTGTTTAATCAGAACTTCTGTATCTGCACCCTCATAAAGCCATATATCAAAACTGAAAGAATAATTTTGATACTTTCATGATACTGTAATCATAAAATATTGCTCTATTTAAACATTCATAGAATTCTTGTGTCAAATACAATTTTCAGTATCTTTTACAAAAACTATTAAAGGAATGATGACAGTTATTAATAAAATTTATCAGTGAGCATTGGTTAATGATTTAATGGTTAACCCACTGCAACAGTCTTCAGATTTCTTCTTTTCTCTTTTTTGTCTTTCAGTTTCTTGTTTGAAAATGGATTACCAGAGGGGAGAGACTAGAAAAGTGGGGAAGAAATAGCAACAGAACCACAGTGATATTTTTAAGACAAGGAGAAAAAAATTTGAAGGAGATGATCAGATTCTCAACCCTTACTGCTCCAGCAGCCTGCAGAAATTATTTTTTTTTTCCTATCCTTTTCTAAAAATAGGTTTGCATAATGAAGCCTGATAGCAGGGTAAAAAGTAGGCACATAAAAGATTTTGATTATTAACTTGTTTTTCCTTAGGTCTCAAGCTACAGTACTACAGAAGGAAATATAGAACGTGGGGTCCCATTTGGTAAAACAGAAAGAGACCAGCTAGAGGGGATTGTTCTTCCAAATTTACCCATGGGGAGAACGAGTACTGACAGAAGGCAGTAAGGGCTGCATCAGCACCACCCTGGGTCAGCTGCAGCAGCTGCTGACACACAGGTGTGTCCCTGAAGTACCCACCTTCAGGATATCCCTAAGTCCACGAGATGCATTTAGTGCTGTTGGGAGACAACGTCTGGACAGTCTCATCCAGCTTGTTGGGCATCTAATGAGTAACAGTTCTAACACAGCTCAGGTCATTCTAACGGGGTTCAGCCTATTCCACAAACACACAGGGGAAAAAGAGAGTGTTCCTCCACGTCGCGATTATGAAACAAACCAACCAACCCCACCTAGTATTCAGGTCAAAACAACTGATTTTATTACGTTAAAAAGACACTGGGTATTTTAAGTATATCAAGAAAAGACTTCCATGCTTACCTTGGCAATGGCTGTTTCTTTATACATGCGTGTGATTAGGTTCATGACTTGAGAAAAGTGGCTTTCAGTGGCATCTGAACTCAGATTTCTCATTAATTTCTCCCACTCTGCAAAAGTGGTATTCAAATTCTGATCGGCAGAAGAAGCCAGGAGTTAGACAAATAGTACAAAGCACGTTCTACCTCAACATGTACATTTCAAGCCTGAAATGTTTAGAAACTGAGTACTTTTGAGAACTCTATCAAATTTGGCTAAAAGTAATTGTAGGATTCAAAATCCAAGGGAAAGGAAGACAGAAATTAAGAAGATTGTACTAAAATTAGAGCAAATTTTATCATTTTCTGATGCCAAAACATTGCTATATTCATGTTTGTCATGTTATATTTTAACAAGAATAACAGAGATGCTATGCTATGTATTCACAAGTTCCTTGTAACTACATATAATATACATGCATACATATAAATAGATATGAATACATGGATATCACTACTTAATAACAAATGTGGAAAAATTTACCTTAGCTGCAGCTTGTGGGAGGTCAAATGGAATACGTTGCCTGACTTTGGGAGGCAACTGAGTTAGAACATCGTTCTTCAGTCTTCTGATCATTATTTCACTTAAAAGTTGATGTAGTTCTTCTAAATTTGAAGCTCCTCTACAGTCCCACTGAGTTCTTTTACCAAAAAACCTGAAAATGAAAAATCAACACTGAGGGTAAAAAAACCCTAGCTCTTCCCAATTCGACAGAAAATTTCAGTACATAATTAATTTTAAAACGCACTATTAGATATGAAGGTGTGTTGGATAACCACACTTGGTGTTCCTGTTTATGCCAGAGAGATGACTGCTTTCTGCCTGATTCCTTCCAACACTAAACTCAGAGCTGTTTCAACTTCCCAGCAGATACTGGTGCCCACAGGCATTACCACCTCTCAGATGCACGCAGTCCTCTCTACCATCCCAGCTAAACTTCTCTTTCTACAGGACTAATGAGAAGGATATACCACCATGAGAATGATCTTTATTGTGTTATAGAGGGAAACAACTGACAGGGAAGCTATCATGAAAGCTGCAAATACCACCGTTAACATTCCTCTGTTTCCCTCCCAGCTACAGTCAGAGACAGGATTTGAAGCTTAAGGTACCATCTTTAAATGTAATACTATTTAATGAGCAAGGTTAAATAGAGGAAGTAGGTTTAAGGTTGAAAAGAGAAAGAATTTATTAACTTAGTCTTCCTTGTTCTTTCTTTGCTGTGTTGTTTTTAAGGAAGTGTTGCAGCAGGAACAGCAGTTTTTCTCTGTCAACATTGCCAAGAGATAATAAAATAATGAGCATGACAGATTTTGCTGCCTTTGCAGAAAAGCTAAGGTAGCACTTTCCAAAGCCAGGAGAGTATGTTGCAAGTATGTAATTTTACTGGGTTTTGTTTTTTTTGTTGTTGTTGTTGTTTGTTTAAAAACCTTATCATCTAGAGAATTTTAAGCCTTACTGCGCTTATCAACCGTAAACTGCCTATAATCATTCAGGAAAGGGGCTGAGGGACTGACTTCTACACTGGTGAAGTATCGGCATAGCGCCCTCAGAATGCTACATAGATGGAAGACAGCAACATCTTTTGCTGATACCCCTTCTTTGGTCTATTTACATGGCTGTCCTCAGAAAGCTTTCGTCCCTCCAGCTTGAGCACTGGGGTTATAAAAGAAATGGGAGACAAAACCTCACAGAAATACTTTAGACCTCATCTTTAGGTACAGCTGTCCATCAGCACCTCAGCAAGAAAAGCCACAGCACTTTCACAGAGTGCTGCGTAAAATAATCCTATCAAGTTTATTACCACAGGATGTTTTGTTTCAGCCAAGTCATGAAGACAAAGTTATTTATTGAAAGCTTGCCAAACCCTGAACCTGATTTTTATTACATTTATGGTATTCCAAAAATAAGATAATCATCTATGATTGAGTAGCTAACCATGCTGTACCCACGCACACTTGTGGTGTGAAAATTGCAGATGCGTTCAGTCAAAACACCATGGAAAAAATAGCATTTCTCTGTCTGAAAATTAGACAGCACTCTTCCATGTTATTTGAAGTTAAATGCTGATAAAACGCATATAATGGAGTCAGAAAAACAAGTTATATGAAAATGAAACCATACAATTATTACTATAAAATTAAATCTAAATGCTAGTCAGTTTAGCTGACAAAATCTATTGTTTTGAATATATGCAAAGTTGTAGATAAGAAGTTTTCTAGCTAAGAAATTTTCTAAAGGTTCTTCTCTTCTCATAACTTCTTTCATTCCAGATTGTAACATCGATTCAGACAGGCAAAACTAAGCATTTTAAATCAGCGCTTCTTCTATCCCCTCTATTTTAGACTACAGCTAGAGAAACAGATCATTAAACTAAAGCTGAGAGAAGCATGTCAGAGGAAGATGAATCCTCCTTAAGTTAATGATTTAAAGCACATGAAAATTCATGAAAGATGCAAGGGATAGAAATGGGTTAAAATCCATTATGCACACATGGGGAAAAATGTGTAATGAGCAATGTTACCTAGCAAATTGAAGGCAAGGTGGTGGGCAAGAACTTACAATGTCTATATTTGATCCCTCAAACAGAATTACACACTACTGTGCTTTTGGGAGTTCTACACCTTTACTTTTACCCAGACAATCTGTAAAACGCAAACAAGTATTGGACTTTTTTCCCACCCAAGTATGGTGGGATAGCAAAAAGACAGGATCCCACAACGAAGAGAGATGTAAGTTACCACATGAGCATAAAACTGAGTCAGAAACTTCTATGTTTCAGCTGAAACTCCAGCTCTAAAGGTGAAACCTACATACTTCATACTAACAACAATGAATTGGTAAATCATTTTACTTAACAGAATGCTGGCACTTAAACTTTACTTCAAACTTTAATAGCTTCCAATTTTGTCCTCAAATAAAGTCTCCTGTCAATTTAATCCTCTTCCCAAGGATTTTCCTTTTCTTTGATGGAAGAGATGGTATCTGACCCTGGGTTTCCAAGTAAGATGACATGATACAGCAACACTCACTGATTCTCTCACTTCACAAGACATGAAAATCAAAGACACACATAGAAAAAAAATGAGCAAGTACAGTAATACCTGACACGAGCATTGCAGTATTTTTTGGCATATTCACTCCAAGTTCCAAATCTTCTTGGAAACAGTGCCTCAATCTGCATGAAAAGCTGTATATAAAAAAGAGTGGTAGTGAAAAACTGCCTGCAAATGTAAGACTATTCAGAAATAATTACTACATTATCATTGTGTTAAGTTCACACTGAACAGCTGCACAAAAAATACAGCTTGCAAATACGTGCAAAAGACATTCCATGGGAGTATGCATGGGTCTTGAGACAGGACAGTTGTGGGAAGCCCTCAAAGAACAGAGCACCCTGAACACCGTAACGCAGTGCTGATGACTTGGAAAAGATTTATACTGAAGAAGATAACATGGGTGAGAAGATCTTATTCCTAAAAATACAATTTTTGTCATTTGCCAGGTACATGGTCTCCTGCAAAGCTTCAGCGCAGGTATTCCATGAACAATCTGCTGCTTAAAAATGAAAAATCTACTAATCCTTAAGTTTTACTTCAAAAATTAGACAATGTCAATACAGACCAGAAATTTCATGCCTTTCTTCCTGGCTGAGTAACAGGAGGTAAGTGTCAGTTTAGACAACCTTAGCCAGAAAGAATCCCACTTTACAAGCTGTTTTACTATCAAAGCTTTCTGCATTCAAAGATCACTACTGGATTCAAGACACACCGTTGAGGGGTAGCGTAGAGACAAAGAGTAATACAGAAGGCTCTCTCCTAAATGCATTTCCCTGCTGTTCTCTTAAGTCTACTGTACATCACTGCTGCCATTAAAGCTTTCATATGCCCTAATCACATGCTAGTGACCTCGCCCAAAAAGAAAATTGCTACAGCCTAATTTTAGTCTTCACAGGCTTCTTTGAATACAGAAGTTAGAGAATTGAAAAGCAGTAGAAAGAAAAAAAACAAAACCAGTTTATTCACCCAAGTAAAATGCTGATATTTTGACACAGATCTAGGCCAAACAAGAAACTGCCTGTAATTATTTGCTATGAAGGTACGTAAATATAAATGAATAATGCTTCTCATTTTCTGTACATATTCCATTTAAGCAGTTCATAAAAAGATTCTGCTTATGACACAAAACTGATTAAAGAGATGTAATGCTTTTTAACACTCTGCCTTATAAGCCATGGCAGAACTTTGTTATAACTATAAAAATGTCTCAAATTGTTTTCCATTTGGTCATGAATTTTGACCCCATCACTGTGATCACGGACAGCTTGTATGGAGTTTCCTTTGAAGACTTTTAGCAATGTTGCTTACTGGCCCTGGGACCAAGGCACTGTATAAACGGGTAACACTTTCTAACTTCAGTTCTTCTTCCAGGGTTGGCTGCAATGTCTTTGGTAGGTGTGCAGGAAGTTTCATAATTATCACACCCATTGATATACATATTTGTTTTAAAGTTTTAGCCAAACACTCATAATACACCAAGCCTTTTCTCATACAGTGGGCATCTTTCTCAAGTTACAACCTCTCTGAACAAATTAAATTATTAAAGGGTATTGGCGTAAGTTCTGTTTACACAACAAGAAACTCTGAAGTGTCAAGTATTACTTATATAACCCTTATTAAGTTCCCTGGATACAAATCAACTCTTATATTCTCCATTTATTACTACATTTGATAAATAAGAGCAGTTTTCTTGGGTTCAGTATAAAACCCAAGTGGGTTTTGGTTTCCTCTCTGCTCCTCCCCAATTCCTTCAAAGGAAAATTTGTCTTTCTGCACTGCAACAAGCACAGGATATATTTTTTCCATTTATGCAATACAAAAGAACATTAGGAATATTCAAACATCAGCGATAAACAAAGGACTTCCTATATCTCATGATGAAGCAGAAGATTTAACACAAGTTCTTGTCTACCAAGGACCCTCCTACCCAGTAGAAACAAACAGTTCTCTACTTCAGCTCTTTATTTTCTATTTCACCCAACAGTCAGTCTGTTACATGTGAGATTAATTTCTTATAAGAAACACAGTCTGAAGTCACCTGTGCATGAGCTTGAAACAAGTTTGTAAAACATCAATATAATCAACTCAAAATAAAAGACATTGTTTCAGTTTCTTATACTTGTGCTTCCTAACACAGCTACTGCACTGTTCGATGTCATAATGTATTTAACTGTATATATTCAAGAAAAACTACACAACTGTCACTTATTACTGATACCATCCTTAAAAAAAATAAATGAAAACAAACCACAACACATCAAATACCTCTTCAGGTCTTCCTAGAGCAGGAGTTCCAGTAAGAAGAATAGCTCTAAGAGCTTTCTGCACAATTGGCAACAAAATCTTGCTGCGGGTGGCATTTCTGGATTTCATATAGTGTGATTCATCAACCACAACTACCTTAAAGTTCTGCCTGTACAAAGTGTCTATTAAAGTCTGTGCATCAGAAGTTAACAGGCCATACCCCAGAATTGTTACTTTGCTGGTTGATATTCTCCTAGAAAAGAAAATCCAGAAGTTTTCTTAGTAAATGTTAATTGTAGGAAAATTAATATAGCAAAGGAATTACACTAAACTAATTTGTTTTAAGAATGTATGTATGACACCTTTTGGATTGATTAATTAATGGGCTGTCAGGCTAATAACAGCTTTTGGTGTTTAAAAGATTCTAGCACCTCACACTTGCAAATCACACACATTTCATAACCATTTTCAGAAGACAGACATTGCATTTAAAAGGAAGTTCATTTATCTGGTGGTATTGCTTCAACTTGTGCTCCTTTCCAGGACTACTGCATGGGATAAATCCACTTTCTGGATAAAAATATATACACAAGTCAGATCATTATGAGCACACTACGTAAACAGCACCCAAACACCTGAAGTAATAAAATCTCTATGCAAGTTATCTACTGCTCTGTGTACAGTCACCTTACCAGGAACCTAAGATGACTAACTAGACTGTCTCTAAGTATTTGGGTACTGTAAAAAGGCTTCTTACAATAAATTTAAAGACATATAAAGGCCCAAGCCATGAATTGATTTTAAAATCACTAGAGAGCACTGTGGCCTTTCACGAGCTTTTGAGCAGCACAGGAACTCTTAAAAGTTATTAGACAAACAAGCTACCAGAATGAGAGTCATAGCTGGTCTACCCATCTGTCAGACACTACCACTCTGCTGGCATGATTTCTATTTGTTCTCCAGTAGCAACAGATCAAAAAACCAGCTAAGTCGAGGCTTCCTTGAGTATTTCCTGAGTTTCCTGAGCCAGTAAGTCAGCTTCATCGGGGACCCAACTTAAATGCCTCTGTGCAAATGCATGTACCATGAGGAATAAACAAGAGGAGTTAAGAGACATGCACACATCTGCAGGGCTATGATCTTGTTGGTATCATAGAGATGTGGCGGGATGGCTCCTGTGACTGGAGTGTTGGAAC